GATATATATCGTATATCGCCATTCAACTTAAAAATATCGAGATATTATTTTTGGTTCATATCGCCCAGGAGATGTCAGCATCTTATCGAGGCTTTCCAGCGACAAGCCCCTTATACCTGGGAGTGGCTACGTGTGCAGCGATTTTGGGAAATGGTAGTCGCTGAGTTTAATACTTTCTTTTACTACTTCRTTGATTTTACTACTACTTTTACTTCCTGTTGTCTTCTTCGTCGTCTTTTTCGCCAGTAGAAACAGCTGGTTCTTGATCATGTGACTCCCGTGATGCAAAAAAAGTGTTTCCATTGCAGTTTTGCAAAATACATCAATTTCGATACGGCCGAAAAACCACCTCATCCTAGCGCAAAACCATTTTGTCGAAAAACGTAATTTTTTTCGAAATTAACATGTTTCCAATGAGCAATTTTTTTTTCGAAATTCTAATTTACGCATTTTCATGGTCAATGGAAACACAGCTTTAGTCTGCCCACCTGCGGGCATTTTGTGTAGCAGACATGTTTTAACTTGACAGTAAACTGAGACAATCGGTTTGTCTGAAGTCAAGAAAGGGCTGCTAACAGCTCGACTTCARGCAGAGCTACGTGAACATCATCCAGCATCTGTTGTAATAAACAGAAAGAAAACACGATTATATCTGTTCTTGTCAAATTTATGTAAATGTGTTAAAAAGTGAATGTTGACCATTCATACACGGGATTTTCCCCTCAGCTGCTGCACTCAGCTGCTTGTTCTGTGGATGTTTCATGTAGAGCAGTGACAATGGTACTTTAAGAAAGAGCAGAGTTTGGACTTTAATTTGACAGGCTACTTGTGTGGTTTGGAACATGTTGTTGGAATGGAATGACTGAATGATAATAAAACACTGAGATTTTGCATCAAACTCATGGAAGAGTCATACTCTGTACAATACAAGCTTATACATCAACACTCACAGACTTACCCTGTGATTCTATTTTATTTTTTTTTTGTGAGAAGCAGCAGAACGGTGCCTCAATGTAAGCCTCTCAACTTAACTCCTGTTTGGCAGGTCATGTTCTGCTGTGTTGAATTTCTTGCAGAGACTCCATGAAGTTGTGTTGCCACTTTGTGTACGTCTGCAACAGCAGCAGTCGAGTAGCATATCTGCATGTGACCCTGCAGGAGGCATCAGTGGACAGTACAGCAGTGCCCTTACACGACGAGAACTATACAGGTACCACCCAAAGGACTGAACTGACAAGAGCAATCTGTTTTTAGTTTTAGATTTTAAAACACGTTCATCTCACACAGGGGTCGACATAACCATTGTTTAGGTTGTCCGAGACAACCTATTTTCGTTTCGGACAACCAGATCCCACCTCCCAGTTGTCCAGTGGACAACCAAGTAAAAATCAGCAGGTGTTGGTCATTGTAAAAATGAATGGGAGGAAAAAAAACTTGTTAAAGCCATCTAGGGATTAAACTGAGGGTTCTTTCACCCAATAAAGAGAACCACAGTCAAAGTTTTACCCAATCAGAACAGAGCAGGGCGGGTCATGCTGTCTGACTGACACCACTGCCTTTTTTCTTTCTCTGTGGGTGGGGGGTCAGCTTCACTCAGTTCAGGAAACGCTGAGGGTTTTCCCGGGAGGTGTTCACCTGAGCTATTTTCCACCGAGGATTACGTCGTATTTTATATATATTATATTTCTAAAAGCTCCTCGCAGCATTTCTCCTGTAACACCGTGTGTTTACGAGCACAACAAAACCACGACAGATCTGACTGTTTTTGACTGTTTTTAAAGCGAGGGCTGAGAGGCAGTTTGACCACAGCCGCAGCACCTCTTCACGCGCACCGCGGCCCCCGACCGGCCCGGGACTTCAGAGTCCACAAGTCAACCCCTTCASATATTTACATGTACAATGAGCATCACAAATCAGTAATTTTAGCAAAAAATCAGTATTAATCACATGCGAGTCGGGTGTGCAAGCGGTGTGTGTGTGTGTGTGTGTGTGTGTGTGTGTGTGTGTGTGTGTGTGTGTGTGTGTGTGTGT